CCACGGAGCAGTGCATCTGCTGGTACGGAACGGCGGGTGGCGGCGGCGGGGGCGGGAGCGCGCAGCGCATCGGCGCGTACGGCGGCGAAATGGCCACGGACGAGGTCGATGACGGGGACGACGGTAGCGGTAGCGGCACGGTGGGCGGCTGTTGCTGCTGCTGGTGGTGGTGGTGGTGGTGTTGGTGGTGTCTCTGCGGCGGAGGCGACGCGTTGCCGGCGTCCGCGGCCGACGGCGACCACACGCCGTGTCTGCCGTACCACGGGATCAGGCCGGGCGGGCTGAGCGACGACGTGGTAGTGGCCACGGACCCGGGTGACGTGTGCAGCGGCTTGAACGCGGACCCGGCGCTACCGGGCGGTGACAGGGACGTGTCGCGGACCGCGGCCACGATCATGGGCGGCGGAAGTCCGGCCGAGGCGACCGCGGCGTACGCGCGCTCGTGCTGGTGCTGTTGGTACATGTAACTGGCCAGGTAGTTGGTGCTCGGGTACTGGGCCGGCACCGGTCTGGGCGCGGCGGGCGCGTACTGCCTGTAATACGCGGGCGCGACTGCCACGGACGATGGGTGGTGGTCGCCCGCTATGTTCAAGCACAACGGCGCCAACGGCAGTGGTCCCGGCTTGATGGCCGTCGGCTGGTACGGGCTTTGCGGCCGGTGGTTGTACGGCGACGGCGAAGACTGCGGCACCGCGATCTGGTAGTAGTGTGGCGGCTGTTGACCGGCTGGCAGCGGTTCTTTTTTCGGCACCAACGGGACGGCGGTGATCACCGATTTGCATTTCACGCTCAGATCTTGAGGCTTGGTACTCAGGTTTTCCGGTTCCGAGGACTCCTCGTTGTTGTCTGCGCGAAAAAACAAACAGAATTTAAATCAATTTCGTTTTTAATATACAAATGAAACATTTTTTTTCAGCTCGGTTGTTTCATCTAACGACGAATTTTTAATTCAGAACCGATCGTACAATATACACATATCTTAATACTTCTAGGCATTTTTTATTTCCATGTATAGGCTATTTATTTACGAGTGTTAACTATTTACTACATTTTCGTTTTATTTTACGATCAAACATATTATAACCAATTTAGTCAAATACTTTTTGCATTCACAACGTATTATTATTTAAATATTTGAAATCTACAACATATATATTGTATGTACATATTTTACGTTTGTGGATAATATATTGATTACATTATAAAAATGTTTAGTAAATAATATTTCGTATAAACGAATAATAATATTAACTATGTCATCACACCGATCCGTCCGTCTATAATAGTGCTAAAAAAAAATCAGTGTCGTACTATTAAAGCGATGACGTATATGGTGTGTACATTTGATTATTTGTAGATCGTCGTCGTCGTTTAACGGTTATATTTCGCGAGGGGAGCGGGTAGTATTGCGAAAACCGAATCAAAATTAAAAAGGGTCACCCTCGGAGGGCTTTTCCCACGTTCTAGCTAGTGTGTCGCACCGGTTCCCATGCACCCTTATGTATAGTACGTAATGTCGAGCAAGTGAATGTAAAACGATCGTGCGTAAATACGTCTGGAGGATGATTTAGTTTATTTATTTTTTTTTTTCATACGAATAATTTAACATGTTTTTCCCCCTTCATGACATTCATGTAATACAACGATTTAAAATTAATAAAGAAACTAATTAATAAATTTTAATTTTTATTTTTTTTTTTTCCACAAAATAAAATCGTGAACGCCAATCGGAATTTACGGAAGTTTACGATTAGCGAAAAACGAAGTATAGTGAAAACGATAATTACCGAAATCCATATTTTCTTCCTTGATGTATCTGTCGTAATGTACCGGACGTTTTTTTAACGGGCAGTGCGAGTAGTCCATCTTTTTGGCGGCTGACACTTTGTGATGTATTATCGGTAGCGCTGGTTTCTCGTCCCAAATGTGCATTTTACAGGGATCCCGTCCGAAAACGATTGGGCGGACGGCGGCTGGAGAAGAGCGAACGATGGAACGGTAATGACGTTAAGCGACAGTTTTCCACGCACCCATGGACGGGTGGCGAAAACAATGGCGAAAAAGAACGTCAAAGGGAGGAAAAAAATATAAAACGATACGTGCGTGTGGAATCGAAACGCGCAGAGGAGAAGTGATCGCGGACGACGGCGACGGTGGACTGATCGGTGTGCACGCGGTTGTGCGAGTGGTGTACGTGATGCACCGGCGTCGAACTCACTGGGCAACGGTGGCGGATCAGGTACGCTGCGGATCGGGTCGCCGAAGAGAGTGCCGTGGTCGCGTCACCGAGGACCGGTGGTGTTCGGCCGCCGCCGAGTTGCCCCCCACCACGAGTCGACGGCGGCGGCGGCCGTACACCACCGCCACTACCGTCACCTCCTCCGCCGGCGGGGCGCGCGCCGTCCGGTTAGCCGTGGACAGGTGCTCGCGGACCGGAGGCGGTGGCGGCGGCGTCCGCACGTGCTGGCCCCCACGACCAATCCGGCGGGCGTAGATGGCGCGGACCAATGGCGTGACGTGGGGTTCACCCTCCCGGACGGGAGCGCCGCGGCGGCGGGCACTCCGCACGAGTCCCCTTCCGATCCGGTTCCGGTGCGAGACGTTGCGCGGCGGCTATGCGGCGGACGGTAGAGGGGCAACGCAGAACCGGTGGCGTTGTCGGCTACGGCGGCGTCCGCACGAGATTTCGCCGAGATTAAAACGCGGCTGCAAATTCCGCTTCCGTTTTTCCTTACCGTCCGTGTCACGTATTTATAGCGCCGACGGTCCTGCAAATATAAAACACGTTTTCCCTTTTACCCGCCCACGGGCTTAGGAGTCGGTTATATACCGTTACCATGTCGTTTCCGTGCACGAGCAACGTATGATCTTCAGAATTCGACACGACCATTTGAACATCGTTCAAACGTACGTAGTAATATTTTGTTTATGAAATATAAAGGTAACCGGTACATAGCACTCATGAAACTTTATGTATTGCTTTGTTCTTTTCTTATTCTTAAATCACATTCCTTTCGTAAGATACGGCCAGTTTCGTTTTCGGTGACGACATTTTTCGTAACGCATCATTTATAACGCCTCGTCATAAAATCCACAAGTACACTTACACGTGTTTGGAATGATATTAAAACGAAAACAGTGCTCGATGAAACAAATATTATATCGATAACTAATGATTACTGTCTGCAAATCCTATGTAAACACCTACATGTTTGCGTTTGATCATTACGTGTCAATATGTGTTCGATCAGTTTTTAATCAAGATATTATAACGTTTATAGACAAATATAAACAATTATATTGTTGTTCACTTTATGTTAGACAATCTCTGCATAGATCACGTATTGGACCGTTACCGATGATCTGTACGAAGATTCGTAACGGTTTTTTACTGTACGTGCAATAATGTATTACAATTGTACATTAATGTATACTACCCACCGAGTCACATATTTTACAGTCGGCTGTCAACGGTGGTACTCTGAACCTAGGGAAATATTAAGTCTTTGGTTTTTAGCGATATTTTTTCATTTTTTCCTGTCCACGCGTAAATATGGATTGTTCGGATTGCAAGGATTATAAATTAAAGACCGTTTCAAAAATATTATGGATTATAGATCGTAGCTACGAGAGCACTACTACCCCATTCGTCTACCACTAAGACCTGTAATCTAGAACAGAAAGGTAACCGTAGTCTTGTTCCTATACTCGTAAATACATATGTATATATTACATTTACCACAATGTATATGGTTAAAAAAATAATTAAGAACCTCCGGTTCGATGTAATCCGGTTCCGAAGGAGTTATAAGTCGAAACCGTGGGTAGGCTTATGACGTGCAAATACGAATAGTGGAACAGTTAAAGATCGATAACGAGATAAGTGCACAAAATATACCTACATAAGTAAATAGCAGCAAAGACATGCGCTTGCGTATAATAAAATTAAAGATTATAACTATCCGATACGCGATGTTAGATCGTGCACATGTATTTTATGTAATACGAGAATCCATCTTGTTCGCAATTCCTATGAGTCACAACGAATACATAATATTTGTACGTACTATTATTGTTAATAGGGCTATACTATTTGCGATAACGAAAATAATACGAAATTAAATTATTTCGATAAATGATTATAATTGTATATAATATATAACTTGAGCAATTTTATGCATACTATCTGTTACGCTATATATTTACTTTATTCATTAACCCATACGTATACAACTATAAAAATTGAGTTCAAATATTTATAGCAGTCAATAACAGTAATTTTATGAGATTTTTTTTTTATCGTTTCTGCTTAATATTTCTCTCAACCACATTACTTATATTGATGTCCGGACGAAATCCCGCTACCAAAATCCCGTTGCCAAAATCTCGTTCGGATAAATTCTCGTCGGAAAAAAAACAATCACATTTAAAATATTCATTAAACAATTTAAAATTAAACCTTCTTCTAGATTTATATAAACGTAATTACGATTGCAATTTGGCAATTATGAAAAATGCGTTACCTACACAAGTATACAACGATGAACAACTCCACGATAAAGTGAAGTACAGTGAAATAACCACGACGAAAAAGTCGCGATAAAATATGTCACGATTTACAAGCATGCGAAAAACGTCGGCGATGATCTGTCGATACACGACTTTCGTTACAGTATACTTGAACAAATAACTATAATCGATACAAACCTTACCGTACCTCACGTCGTGCGTGTCTCTCGTCGTACGTTTTTCACTATGGAATTTGTCAAAATTGCCAAGGGCAATAATTTATTTGCTTATAAAAGTTCCCTATGTTCCTGAGAAAAACCAACAAAAAGTGTAAAAAACAATGTAGAAATGTACGGAAAAAATCTAGTAAAACTATAACGACCGGTTTTTATACAATATAGTTAATATATTTAAGTTAATATATTTAGTTAATATATTTATTTAATATATTTAATATAAAGGCTTGACATTTTTATTTATGCTACAGCATTACAGTACAAGTGCCTAGAAGTATTTTTATTCAGAGCGAAAAATATTAGTGTACATTCAAATATATTTCGTAACACATGGAATGATATCACACAGGCCTCAGATATTCACGCGTGTACATATTATGTACTTGAATCTATTGAAATATTGATTTTATCGATACACTAAAGATATATGTGTACGAAAAATGTATTATATCATGATTATTTCGTAAACTATTTATGTTATCGAGTTGAGTATAAAAGATTCAAATGTCAGGATTAAATAATTACGAATTGTCAAAAATGTATTCCAGACTTAAAAACCATATGATTGTACATACGTAGGCAGTGTTATCCTCAAGTCGAGTACCTACTGCCGTAGTTATTGAAATTAATTTCTTATAAATAAAACTATAACGTACAAAGGATCGCATGCATAATGCTTTTATAAGTATCGCGCGTACATATATGTATTCGTATACGTATTGCCCGCTTATATGTGTTTTCTATAGTGCGTATGCCTTTGAGTTTTGTAAAGTCTCTCCCACGAGAGGGTTATTTATTTCAAGTAGATGGTAGCAATAACGTTATCTTATGCAAAATTCGAAGAATCCAAGGACCAGTTGTATTGAAAATCACAACCGTTATGGGGTGACCGCACCCCACGTAGGTACATAATGAATATGCGAATAATATTACACCGACCATATTACGCAACGCGTTAAACTATTCATTTTAGATAAGTATATGCATATATTTTTTTTTCTTCGTCCTATGCCTATGTATCGCGCACAAGTATTTCCAGTGTTTAGTTCCGTACAACGTGTTTTTTCGATTTAAAATAAAATAATACGCACTCGTGAATTACAACAGCGCTGTATACATTATTGCGATCACCTACGTGCATGTGTGTACAGGATCGGGTTGAATGGTGTGTATACATAATACATTATAATGCAGCGTACAGGTATACATACGGACTATGTGATACGTTTTGCAACGCGGTCGTTGTTTCGTTATCCGTAAGTTCAGCGCATGTTCTTGATACCACGAGATACGCCGTTTCGTGTACTGGTTATACACCGGAGGCCGGTTAACTTTTCGTAGGTAACAGTTATTTTTCCGAAAAGTGACAACACTAGGGTGTCGGATGAGCGATGATGTTGGCCGCGATCCCGTCGTTCGAACGGGGTTATTATTCAACGAATATTATCTCATTTCAACCAGAAATAAACGTCACTATGTTGATAATATATCTTTTGGTAATACAATATTTTATTCGATATAATATTACAAGGACCGTATTCCGAAGAAAAATGCGATGGATAAAAGTATTGGAAATCGATCGTTATCCATACGATCACGATTTTTCCGAGATATTTTGCGTAGTCGTTCAGTATTATAAATGGAGAAAGAACCAAATGTACCAAAACAGGTACACATAGTCTTTTATACGTAGCACATTATATTTTTTCGCACCCCTTTGTGACATGTTATACATAATGGATAAAAGTACTATATACGAATATACGCAGTATTTGTTTGCGTGTTCAATGCGTTGTATGCTAAGATGTACGAATAGAACGCGTTCGGATTTAATGAGTTTACTTATGCCATTGATTATGTGTAGTTGTTACGAGTATATAGCGAATATAATTTAATTTGTTTAACTAGTGACGAATCGAGTATTGCGTTTGTTTAAACATAAAGGCATATTAATCAAGATATTAACTTTAATAAGGATCTAAAAAACTAAACGTTAATAACTGCTGTGACTTACTTTATTCTGTAGTTATTATAAAAAAAAAAAAAAAATTAAAAAAACTAATTACAATCACAAACCATAATCCACTATCACACATAGTAATTAAACAATCAAATTAAAGCGATGTTTAAATAATTTTAGCGATGACATTTAGGATTATATTATCTGATTCGTTATTTCTGAATGGACTTCGATTGCATTACCGCATATACGAGTACGTATACATGTATTTGATTACAAAACAAATACAAGTAATTTATGATGGGTAAATATTGTGCTAATAATATATAATATGTTCGTTGAAATCGATGTTATATAGGACGTATTAAATTACTTGTACAATGTATAATCACGTGGCAAAGGGAAACGGATTACGCAGTGACATTGTGCGTGGAAGAGAAAATTTTAACAGTAAGCAGTATATATTAACACGAAATTAGATCAGATCGTATTGCTTAAGTTACAAAAGTACGGGTTGTACATGTTTTTCGGACCAAAAGCTGGTTCGCAATGTCTTCAGCGGC